ATGTTAATGACTTTTTTTATATGTTAAAAAAAAATCTGAAGAATATATTTAAAAAATACATATTTTTAAAATTATTTTTCATATATTATTATACAGGATTTATATAAAACATTATTATTATTCTTATACAGGATTTATATAAAACATTATTATTAGTATACAGGATTTATATAAAACATTATTATAAATATTATACAGGATTTATATAAAACATTATTATTATATTATACAGGATTTATATAAAACATTATTATTATTATACAGGATTTATATAAAAACATTTATTATTATAATTATTATACAGGGTTTTATATAAAAACTTTATTATTATACAGGATTTATATAAAACATTTATTATTATTATACAGGATTTATAAAAAAACATGATTATTATTATACAGGATTTATATAAAACATGATTATTATTATACAGGATTTATATAAAACATTATTATTATTATTATTATACAGGATTTATATAAAACACTATAATTATTATACAGGGTTTATATAAAACATTATTATTATAATTATTATACAGGGTTTATATATAAAACATTATTATTATTATACAGGATTTTATATAAAAAAATTTTATTATTATATTATTATTATTATTATACAGGGTTTATATAAAACATTATTATTATTATACAGGATTTATATAAAACATTATTATTATTATACAGGATTTATTATTATTATACAGGATTATTATTATTATTATTATTATTATACAGGATTTTATATTATTATTATTATACAGGATTTATATATTATTATTATTATTATACAGGATTTATGGTGCCAACAGTTTTGCTCAGCACTTTACAATATAAGGGAGACAATACAGCAACAACGGCTGAGTATTATTTTCTATTTAATTATTATTATTATACAGGATTTATAATATTATTAGTAGTAATATTATTTTCTATTTATTTATTAATATTATTATTATTATAATACAGGATTTTTTATTATTATTATTATTATTATACAGGATTTATATTATTATTATTATTATTATACAGGATTTATATTATTATTATTATTATACAGGATTTATATATTATTATTATTATACAGGATTTATGGCGCCAACAGTCTGCTCAGCGCTTTACAATATAAGGGAGACAATACAGCAACAACACACTTCAATACAAGAAGGGATAGGAGGGCCCTGATCCTGGGAGCTTACAATCTAAGAGGGATTTTTGTAATATATATAAAAACCGCATTTCAACATGCAATATCTATCTATATATATATTTATTATTTTTTTTTATTTTTATTGATATATATTGAATACGGCCAAAATTGTAGCATTTCAAATAGATGTCAATATATTTGGGAATAATATTTTTAAAATATTTTTTCTTCCATGTGGGTAGGATTATAACTTTTTTTTTTGGTTGAACTGGATGGACTTTTGTCTTTTTTTTTCAGCCAGACTATGTATGTAACTTAAAGCGGAACTTCACTCTCTCAATCAACACGGACTATTTCTAATCTTTATGCTGTATCATTAGTAAATCAATAGGAAAGTATATCATTTTTACTTGTTTTAAAACCTTTTACTTTGCATTCCTTCATTTACTTCTTGGTATCCATGCCTAGGCACATGATGTCATACATCCCAAGAGTCTTCGGGAGGGGAGGGAGGGTTCACAGCTCAGCCAGTGCCTGAGCTAAGGACAGATGGATTCCAGAAAGTAGCTGCTACATGACACAGCTGCCATTTTTTTTTTACCATTTCTTTAGTCACATTCTGGTCTCCGTGCCTAGGTAAATGATGTCATACATCCCAGGAGGGGAGGAGTGACTTTCTCAGCTAAACACACCCTCCCTGTCTGCATGCCTGGGCTAAGGGCAGATGGATTCCAGAAGTAGCTGCTACATGACACAGCTGCCATTTTTTTGTTACATTTCTTTAGTCACATTCTGGTCTCCGTGCCTAGGCAAATGATGTCATACATCCCAGGAGGGGAGGAGTGACTTTCTCAGCTAAACACACCCTCCCTGTCTGCATGCCTGGGCTAAGGGCAGATGGATTCCAGGAAGTAGCTGCTACATGACAAGGCTGCCATTTTTTTTTTTTTACATTTCTTTAGTCACATTCTGGTCTCCGTGCCTAGGCAAATGATGTCGTACATCCCAGGAGGGGAGGAATGACTTTCTCAGCTAAAAACACACCCTCCCTGTTTGCATGCCTGAGCTAAGGACAGATGGATTCCAGAAAGTAGCTGCTACATGACACAGCTGCCATTTTTTTGTTACATTTCTTTAGTCACATTCTGGTCTCCGTGCCTAGGCAAATGATGTCATACATCCCAGGAGGGGAGGAGTGACTTTCTCAGCTAAACACACCCTCCCTGTCTGCATGCCTGGGCTAAGGGCAGATGGATTCCAGGAAGTAGCTGCTACATGACAAGGCTGCCATTTTTTTGTTACATTTCTTTAGTCACATTCTGGTCTCCGTGCCTAGGCAAATGATGTCATACATCCCAGGAGGGGAGGAGTGACTTTCTCAGCTAAACACACCCCTCCCTGTCTGCATGCCTGGGCTAAGGGCAGATGGATTCCAGGAAGTAGCTGCTACATGACAAGGCTGCCATTTTTTTTTTTTTTTACATTTCTTTAGTCACATTCTGGTCTCCGTGCCTAGGCAAATGATGTCATACATCCCAGGAGGGGAGGAGTGACTTTCTCAGCTAAACACACCCTCCCTGTCTGCATGCCTGGGCTAAGGGCAGATGGATTCCAGGAAGTAGCTGCTACATGACACAGCTGCCATTTTTTTGTTACATTTCTTTAGTCACATCCTGGTTTCCATACCTAGGCTAGGGCTGTGGATAAGGGGGTACCACCAATCCTCCTGTATGGGGCCCAGGCAGCTGGGCAAAAGTGAGTATGATTGGCACAGTTGGGGAGGGGGGGGGGGGCAATTACCGGAACCAGTACCCTGTATGGCTCTCTCTGCAGCAGCTTCTTCCCCTCTCCCTCCTGGTGGCATTCAGCTGCCCCATACAGGGGATCATTTCCAGGTCCTAAATCTGTAATTGCTTCCCACCATCCCTGTGCACCGTACATTTTCTCCTGTTGCCCAGGCCCCCCACTGCGTACCCCCAACCCCGCAGCACTGCCGGCTTCCCTCTTCTGATTTCCACTGGCAGCTGCAAGCACACTAGGATCCTTCAAGATGGAAAATGGGGGAGGGTCCGGTAAATATGTCAACTTTGTGCTTCCGCTTTAACTATTTGCTGTTTATTCATACATCTAATTCTGTATTAATGGTTACAGACGGGCAGACTGACAACTCATGGGGCCCCCGGCAATAGGGGGTCATGGGGCCCCTGTGTCCTTGCCCAAACTCAAAAAAGCCTATGAAAAAGGTACCAGGGGCATCTCATGGGGCCCTCTACTGACCCCGGGCCCTCGGGCAGTGCCCGAGTTTCCAAATGGTCAGTCCTCCCCTGGTTACAGAGTTGCAATAATTGATGTCTTTGGTGCTTGCTCTGGAGTTAGCGTTAGGCTGACAACTGTTCCTGCCAGGGCTTGTGAGGGCTGGGAGGTTGGCCATTTGTGCAAGTGTCCAACAAGCCCCCCTGGATGCTGAGCCTGCATGTCACGTACTCGCTAATGGTAGCTCTATGGATCCACAGTCCAGGATTCCCCAGGGCGCGGAGTCTAAGCCCCAGTCTGCTTGTTCACCAGAGCCCCTGATGGTGGGGATGGACTTGGAGCAGGCTGAGACCAGGTCGCGGCCCCCGGGTACACCCAGCTGTAGTAGAGAGGACCACCAGCGGGACGTAGCTGGATAAGAGCCTGATGTGAAGAGGCAGGGCAGACCTGAGCGGTAAACGGATGGATCCGTGCAGGATGGATGGATGCGGACACACCGTGAAGCAAGTAGCGGAGTCAGGCAGGCCGGGTCGGTAACTGTGGAGGCAGAACGGAACAGAGCAGCAGGCAGAGGATAGTCGGGTCACAGGCCAAGTTCAGCAACAGGAGGACAGACGATCAGGAGCAGGCAGAAGAGTGGTCAAAGGCAAGCCAGGGTCAGGGCAGGAGACGTCAGCAGTAATCAGGATCAGGCTGGGTTCGGCAACAAGGTACACTCACAGGATCAGAACACAAGCAGAGGATCAAGACCATACGGCAACTTGGACATTGCAATGGCCAGTTTAAATAGCCCACCCGGCGCTGACAGGCGAGCCTGGGTCCTAGTGCCTGCCCGGCGCCGTCATTGGTGACAGCCTGGGCTAGTGCCTGCCCGCCATTGGGGACAGGCGCTAGTGCCCGCCGCCTGCCTGTATGTCTTGTCGGGATCCTGCGCATGTGCAGATTTGTGCGCCGCGGCGATCTTCTCGTTCCCTGACACTGCACTGATGAGACTGCGGTGCCTGTGTTTGTGTCTTAAGTGCCCGGTCACACCGGTGCGTTTTGCAAATTGAAAATCGCATCTAATGAATATGAATGTCTTAACCTCTTCACGCCGGCCGCACGCAAATGTGTGGCCTTCCCTGCGTCTGGGCCTAGATGCCGAGCAGCCGCACATTTGTGCTCTATTAAAAAAGGACATATGTGCCGAGAGCGTGCGCTCTGCCCGCTCCCAGCACACGTCCGGTACTCGCGGAAAGGTCCCGATCTCCTCTTTCGATCGGGACCTTTCCCGATCATGTGACGGCACGTCACGGCGGTCACATGTCCCTGAACCCCTTCCCGGCTTCTGAAACTCTTAAAGGGCCGGGAGGCGCCAGCATGAAGGGGTTAACATGCGATTTGCTGCACCGTGATTTCTAAAGTCGTTCTTCCATGACTTTTTCTGCAGTTTTGTTACGATTTCACCTACATAAAACATAATAGAAATCGCAGCGCAAATTGCAAGAAATCGCTGAAAATCTTCACAAGTAGCCATAGAAATCACGCTGAATTTGCACACATCGCAGCGGGTGTGACTGGTGACTTATATATCTTCATCTTTTTTTGTTTCTCAGGAGAATGAGATTAACGTGATTGGCGTTGGCACCCACCTGGTGACGTGTACCCTTCAGCCCTCCCTGGGCTGCGTCTACAAGGTTAGAATCCAACATGGGAGAGCGTCCTAGGAATCCAGTATGTGTGTTTAGCCATTTTCGGGACATATTAAATCATCCTAGACGTTAACCGCTTGAGCTCCGTAAAATTTTACCCCCTTCGTGACCAGACCCATTTTTTTTTTTTTTTGCTATTCAGCACTGCGCTACTGTAACGGGTAATTGCGCGGTCATGCAATACTGTGCCCAAATTAAAAATTTTTATAATTTTTTTTTTCACACAAATAGAGCTTTCTTTTGGTAGTATTTGATCACCACTGGGGTTTTGTATTCTATAAATAAAAAAAAAAAGACCAAATATGAAAAAAAAAACTATATTTTTTTACTTTCTGCTATAAAACATAGTTAAAAAAATTAAAAATTTCTTTATAAAATTTAGGCCAAAATGTATACTGCCACGTCTTTGGTAAAAAAAAAAAGAATAAAATCCCAATAAATACATTATTTGGCTTGTGTGAAAGGTATAGTGTCTACAAACTATGGTATATATATTGGAATTTTTATTTACTTTTTTTTTTTTTATACTGGTAATGACTGCGATCAGCGCCTTCTAGTGGGACTGTGATAGTGCTGCAAGCAATCTGACACTGACTACATGACACCGACATCTCCAGTGACACCAATACAGTGACCAGTGCTAATAATATACACTGAAACTAATGACACTGGATGGGAAGGGGTTAACATCTAGGAGCAATCAAGGGGTTAACTGTGTGGCTAACTAGTGTTAATGTGTTTGCATATGTGCTTTATTTTTTTTTACCCTGCAAAGCGGGAAGTAATTTTGCAGTAAAAAGTAGCAATCGTTCCCTCTTTTCAGAGCTGTTTGTTGTTTTGTCAACACAGGACTCTGAGCTGTGATTGGACACAGCAGATCCTGGCTGTGAATCATTGGATGGGATGCTGACAATCCCCTGCTGTCTGATTACAGCGGAGTAGGTGGGCACGCGCCCTGTACCCGGAGACAGGCAGTGATGTATGTCTCTGTGCCTGTAGGAGCCATCCCATCGCAGTATATGTACTGTGGCGGGTTGGCAAGTAGGTAAAGCGGAGTTCCAGTTACACTGTAAAAAAAAAATAAAAGTCAGCAGCTGCAAAACCTGTAGTTGCTGACTTTTAAAAAAGCAGCCACTTACCTGTCCCTCGGTCCCGTGGTGTGTCCCCCGCAGCCCATTTCACCGGGCCGTCCTGTATTCCAGGAGGCCGGCATCTTCAGTGTGGGCACCCGGCTGTGGCAGCTTGCGCTGCACTTCCTGAATGGCCCCGTAGTCTCCTGGGACCTGTCACTTGTCCCAGAAGACTACGGCGGGTGGGAGGACAACTTCCGCTTCCAATCGCTAGGCCAGGGATAGGCAACCTGCGGCTCTCTAGTTGTTGTGGAACTACATTTCCCATGAGGCATTGCAAAGATTACAAAACTGACCGTTACAGCTGTGACTTGCAGAGGCATGATGGAACTTGTAGCCCTGCGGCTCTCAGGTTGCCTACCCCTGGCCTAGGCGATCGCAGTGAAAGTGGGAGCGGGCACCTGTCAATTTCGGGTACCCGCTCCCCAAAGGTGCCAATCCTTAATAGGACCGGGGGCGGACCAGTCTTTAAAGCGTAACAAAAAATGGTGAAGCGCTATGCAAATGCAACCAATCAGTGTATATACACAAATATAGGTGAATAAATATACATTAATAAGCAATAATTAAAAGTGAGACTCCAATCTTTTAAATAATATAGAGTGACATGTGCTTTAAAACAGCAACCCACTGTGCAAAAACAAGTGCCTGGTCTGCCAATAAAAATATAAACACACCGGGTTAAATGAAATATATACCCAAAATAGATATATATACATAAATAATATTATCGTGAGACTCCAATCCTTGAAATAATACAAAGTGACCCGTGCTTAAAAACAGCAACACACTGTGTAAAACATGCCGGGTCTGCCAAACAATATGTATACACACCGGGTAGAGTGAAATATATACCAAAAATTAGATATCCATTATTAATATATCAAGTGATCGGTGCAACAACACAAATAGAAAAATAAACAACAATTGAATAAAATCGTTCAGTGTAAACATCGATGGTGACCAGTCCAACAAAAAGTGCTTCAATCTTCAGTGTACACTATAAGTGCTCTCAGTGACACTCTTTGTGACTTATCCCACAGTGGCTAAAGTGCCTCCTAACATCGACCCTTAAGGGCCACAACACCTTGGGTAATCCTCAAACCAGACGGCTTCCCACACTATGGCTCCACTGACTCCAATCGGGCTCCGATTATAACTCAGCGCATCAAATATCCCTTTCACACAATAGGCTCAGGCATGCATGACGGGTAAAGAGAACGACCTCCATAGTGTCATACCACTTTATTAATGAAAAAACGCCATATAAATGGACACTCGCATTAAAATCCTATTAGTACAGCAGTTTCCCATGTGCTATGGGTGTACTAGGGGACTCGGGTGTTGTACCAAGATGGCGTCAAAACCGGAAGTGCATCACTGCTGAAACCGGAAGTGTGTCACCGCACATGCTCTCTACGCGTTACACCACGATAGGACACGTGGCTTCCTCAGTCTTTAAAGCGGAACTTCCCCTTTTGGGTGGAACTCCGCTTTAAGTGATAAAACAAGCTTAGCAGCCATGGGCTTTGTATCTTTTTTTTTTTCTTTCTTTTTAAAGCTGCAAATCAGCTGTTCAGTAAAAGTGATCCGGGCAGCTCTACAGCCACTTAGTCATGTTTTCATATTCCTTGGCTACTGTGGCCACTCAAGCGTTGTCTGTGTCTTATTAGCTGCATTGGAGGGGGTCTAATAGACCCCCTAATGGCCACCATAAAGAGAACCTGTCACTTGCCCAAAGATATCACATCGGGGGCTTGTTAGCAATAAAGTTAACTGGGGGGAAAAAAAATATGAAAAAAAAAAAAAAAATTAAAAAGCACCCCAGTCCACGCTACACATACATGCATATACAAACACACACATAGGTCCCATTTGTGTATGTAAACAATGACTGAGGTATTGTGAATGTCAGAGACACAGCGGTCATTTCAGGGCCATTGCTCACAATTAAGTATACTCTGATCACCTGTAAAGGCTTTTAACCGCTTCCCAACCGCGCTATAGCCGAAGGACAGCTACAGCGCGGTTGTCTGGTTCTGGGACAACGTCCATGGACGTCATTCCAGAACATGCCCAGCGGCACACCCCCAGCGCCGGTCATTGCTGACAACTAAACTGCCAATCACAGCGGCCTTTTACCACATAATCAGCCGTGTCCAATGACACCGCAGATCACCGGGTAAATACAGTTGCCAGTTATTGGCTGCACTTTCCTCACCCTGTCACACCATGAGGAAAGTACTGCCGAGATCCGGCAATTGCCAACGAAGGGAGTGCTGCCCACCTGTGCCCATCTGTGCCACCCATCAGTGCAGCATCATCAGTGCCATCTATCAGTGCCGCCTCATCAACGCACATCAGTGAAGGAGAAAATTACCGGTTTGCAAAACATTTTAATAGAAACAAAGAAAAACTTTTTTTTTTTTTTTTTCTGTTTATAGCGCAAAAAATAAAACACCCAGCGGCGATTAAATACCACCAAAAAAAAGCTCTATTTGTGTGAAAATAGTTTCATATGGGTACAATGTTGCATGACCGCGCAATTGTCAAAGTGCGACAGCGCTGAAAGCTGAAAATTGGCCTGGACTGGCAAGGGGTTAAAGCTCCACCCATGAAAACTTTTAGGTACTGTAGTTTGTCGCCATTTCTAGGGAGCTTTGAGCTCGGTATCTCTTTACCAGACGCGACCCCATCTTCTATACTGGATATTATATTGTGTTTTTGTGCACCAAAACTGATTTAGTGAACTTCTTCCTGGAAATGCGTGTTTGAAAAACAGTTCTTCACATAACATGTAAAATGCAGATTTTAACCCCTCGCCTACCAAACACTTATACCCCCTTCCTCTCCAGGCCAATTTTCAGCTTTCAGCTCTGTCACACTTTGATTGCCAGTTGCGCGGTCATGCAAGATTGTACCCATATGAAATTTTTATCATTTTTTTCTCACAAATAGAGCTTTATTTTGGTGGTATTTAATCGCCGCTGGGCGCTTTACTTTTTGCGCTATAAACAAAAAAATTGCAAAAAATGTGAAAAAAAAAGTTTTTGTTTTTATTATAACATTTTTCAAACAAGTAATTTTTCTCCTTCGCTGATGTGCGTTGATGAGGCAGCACTGATGGGCACTGATAGGCGGCAATAATGAGGTGTCACGGATAGGCGGCACTGATAGGCGACACTGATGATGTGTACTGATAGACAGCTTTGATAGGTGGCACTGACTGGCAGCACTGCTGGGCACTGACTGGCACAACCGCTGGGCACTGACTAGTGCCACTGACTGGCAGCACTGCTGGGCTGCACTGATGGGCACTGGTGGGCACAGGTGGATGGCACTGGTGGGCACAGGTAGGTGGCACTTCTGGGCACACTTGTGTGTGACACTGCTGGGTGGCACAGGTGGATGCACTGCTGGGCACAGGTGGGCGGAGTTAGTGGGTGCACTGCTGGGCATGGGTGGGCAGAACTTGTGGGTGGCACTGCTAGGCACTGAGCATGAGGAAAGTACTGCCGAGAACCGGCAGTTGTCACAGCAGTGCCCTGATGATCGGTGCCGATCCCTGCTTTGACAACTGCCGCTTCTCGGCAGTACTTTCCTCACGATCTGACAGCGTGAGGAAAGTGCAGCCGAGAACTGGCAATTGCATTTCCCGGTGATCAGCATGTCATTGGACACGGCTGCTCACGTGGTAAAAGGCCGCTGTGATTGGCCTTTTACCAGATCATGTGATCAGCTGTGTCTGTAGGACACAGCGATCACGGAGATCGCCGGGTGTGCGCAGGATAGCGCGTTCTGGGAGGACGTCATATGACGCCCTCCCAGGACTGGCCAGCCGCAGTGCAGCCGTCATTCGGCTATCTGCGGTCGGCAAGTAGTTAATGTGCGAAAGCGGTTAATTTTATCAAAAAGTTATCAAAATAAAAATGATTATTAAAATAAAATTCAAGATTGGATCCTTTGAAGGGCATTCCCACTTTTGTTCTGAATTTTCATTATTCGGCTGTGACGTGATCATTGTGTGTGTCCTTCGGCAGCTGGTGCAGGTGAACGATCAGCCCCGGATGAAGCTCAGCGAGGACCAGGAGAAGGCGACAATTCCAGGGAGCAAAACCATCTACAGGCTGTATGACGGTTCTGGTAAGTTCTAGATTCGGTGATTGGTGTCTGAGAATTCAGTAAACACTACTGTACTCCTAATGGTGTACAGTTTGCAGGTTCTGAATTACTGCCGATCCTTATGGAAGCCATAATAATGAATAGAGACATGTTTTATCAGTTCAATGCTTTATTGAAATTTAAAAAAAAAAGTAACCCTGGGCGGGGGTCAGTTAGGGAGTTGGGTAAGGGCGGGGGGGGGCGGCAAAGTGAGGGCAGGGTAGTTGAGGGTGGAGTAGGATAGGGGTTGCGGGGTGGGATGGAAAAGGCTGTGATCACTGGTAGGGAGAGGCGGGGGATGGGAGGGTCATTGGGAGATTACTGGTAGGGAGAGGCGGGGGGATGGGGGGTCATTGGGAGATTACTGGTAGGGAGAGGCGGGGGATGGAAGGGTCATTGGGAGATTACTGGTAGAGAGAGGCGGAGGATGGAAGGGTCATTGGGAGATCACTGGTAGGGAGAGGCGGAGGATGGAAGGGTCATTGGGAGATCACTGGTAGGGAGAGGCGGAGGATGGAAGGGTCATTGGGAGATCACTGGTAGGGAGAGGCGGAGGATGGAAGGGTCATTGGGAGATCACTGGTAGGGAGAGGCGGAGGATGGAAGGGTCATTGGGAGATCACTGGTAGGGAGAGGCGGAGGATGGAAGGGTCATTGGGAGATCACTGGTAGGGAGAGGCGGAGGATGGAAGGGTCATTGGGAGATCACTGGTAGGAGAGAGGCGGAGGATGGAAGGGTCATTGGGAGATCACTGGTAGGGAGAGGCGGAGGATGGAAGGGTCATTGGGAGATCACTGGTAGGGAGAGGCGGAGGATGGAAGGGTCATTGGGAGATCACTGGTAGGGAGAGGCGGAGGATGGAAGGGTCATTGGGAGATCACTGGTAGGGAGAGGCGGAGGATGGAAGGGTCATTGGGAGATTACTGGATGGCCAGAAAGGATCTCTGTGTGTTAAGTTGGGGTGGTAAAGGATAGGGCATGAGAGATGGGTTATGTATTGGTGTCTGCGCACATATTAACCATTTGCCCTCCTGAGGATTTACCCTCCCCCTCACAGCCTCTGCTCACTGTCCACCAGACAATGCAAACCAGGGTCAGTTGAACCATCTTTTTTTTTTTTTTTTTTTTTTTTTTCCAATGTGGAAAAGTGCAATGATCACCCCACCTGGTATCCTCACTTTTGTTTTACCACCCAACAAAGAGAACCACTGTGACTAAGCCCTTGTTGGGTGAACTCCATCATAGTGTGGAATCCAGGTGGGATGATCATCAAACCTTTCTACATGGAATTACAGGTAGGTCTATATATATTTGGACACAGGCACAATTTTAGTTTTTTTCAGGTATTTACCAAAACATCTTCTAGTTCTATAATGAAAATAGGCGGATAGTGCACACTCTCAGGTTTAATTTGAGGGTATGTACATCCACATTGGAGGAAGGGTTTAGGAATTACAGCTCTTAAGAGTAGCCATCTCCCCTTGTTCAAGGGACCAAAAGTAAATGGACAGTTGAGCCAAAAGCTGTTTCATGGCCAGGTGTGGGCTACTCCTTCATTATTTCTTCATCAATTAAGCAGTTAGAAGGTTTGGAGTTGATATTTTTATTTGGAATCTATTGCTGTGAACCTACATCATACGTTCAAAGGAGCTGTCCATGCAAGTGAAACACCATTGTAAGGCTTCAATGCTCCTAGATTGTAAGCTCTAACAAGCCGGGCCCTCGGTTTCCTCTTGTCCCAAATTGTATTGTAAATAATGTCTACATTTTGTAAAGCACTGCGCAAACTGTTGGCGCTATATATATCCTGTACAATAATAAAACAAAACAAATCCATCAGAGAGATCGCAGCAACATTAGGAGTGGCCAAATCAACAGTTTGGTACATTCTGAGGAAAGAAGAACGCACTGGTGAGCTCAGCAACATAAAAAGGCATTGAGGTCCATGGAAGACAACAGTGGTGGGTGAGCGCAGGATCCTGTCTATGGTCAAGAAAAACCCATTCACAACATCCAGACAAGTGAAGGACACTCTCCAGGAGGTGGGAGTATCATTGTCAAAGTCTACAATCAAGGGAAGACTTCACGAGAGCAAATAGAGGGTTCACCACAAGGTGCAAACCATTCATAAGTCTGAAGAATAGAAAAGCCAGATTAGACAGGCAGAGAATGGCACACGCTCAGGTTTAATTTGAGGGTATGTACATCCACATTGGAGGAAGTTTAGGAATTACAGCTCTTAAGCTGTAATTTGCCAAAAAACATTTTTGACTTTGCCAAAAAACATCTAAAAAAAGCTGGACCAGTTCTGGAAAAGCATTCTTTGGACGGATGAAACTAAGATGAATCTGTACCAGAATGATGGGAAGAAAAAAAGTGTGGAGAAGGCTTTGAACAGCTCATGATCCAAAGCACACAAAGCCATCTGTAAAACATGGTGAAGGCAGTGTGATGACATAGGCATGCATGGCTTCGGTGGCACTGGGTCATTGGTGGTTATTGATGATGTGACAGAAGCAGCCGGATGAATTCTGCAGTGTTTGCTTCATTTGGCTGACTCTGGACTGACAGTATATCTGTAAAAGGTGATTGGACGGTGCTTCACAGTACAGATGGACAATGATCCAAAACACACTGCAAAAGCAACCCAGGAGCTTCTGAAGGAAAAGAAGTTGAATATTCTGCAATGGCCGAGTCAATCACCTGATCTCAACCCCCACTGAGCATGCATTTCACTTACTGAAGGCAAAACTAAAGGCAGAAAGAGCCAGAAACAAAGAACAACTGAAGACAGCTGCAGTTAGAGCCTGGCAAAGCATCAGAAAGGAGGAAACCCAGTCTTTGGTCATGTCCATGGGTTCCAGACTTCAGGCAAAGCATCAGAAAGGAGGAAACCCAGTCTTTGGTCATGTCCATGGGTTCGACTTCAGGCAAAGCATCAGAAAGGAGGAAACACAGTCTTTGGTCATATCCATGGGTTCCAGACTTCAGGCAAACCTCAGAAAGGAGGAAACCCAGTCTTTGGTCATGTCCATGGATTCCAGACTTCAGGCAAAGCATCAGAAAGGAGGAAACCCAGTCTTTGGTCATGTCCATGGGTTCCAGACTTCAGGCAAAGCATCAGAAAGGAGGAAACCCAGTCTTTGGTCATGTCCATGGGTTCGACTTCAGGCAAAGCATCAGAAAGGAGGAAACACAGTCTTTGGTCATATCCATGGGTTCCAGACTTCAGGCAAACCTCAGAAAGGAGGAAACCCAGTCTTTGGTCATGTCCATGGGTTCCAGACTTCAGGCAAAGCATCAGAAAGGAGGAAACCCAGTCTTTGGTCATATCCATGGGTTCCAGACTTCAGGCAAACCTCAGAAAGGAGGAAACCCAGTCTTTGGTCATGTCCATGGGTTCCAGACTTCAGGCAAAGCATCAGAAAGGAGGAAACCCAGTCTTTGGTCATGTCCATGGGTTCCAGACTTCAGGCAAAGCATCAGAAAGGAGGAAACCCAGTCTTTGGTCATGTCCATGGGTTCCAGACTTCAGGCAGTCATTGCCAGTAAAGGATTCTCAACAAAATATTACAAATGAACATTTTATTTATGATTATATTCATTTGTCCAATTACATTTGTGCCCCTGAAATGGAGGGACTGTGTATACAAATGGTTGCAGTTCTAAAATTTGTACTTGATATTCATGTTCAACCCCTTGAATTAAAGCTGAAAGTCTTCACATTCATTTGGATTGTTTTGTTGTAATTTATTCTGGTGGCATACAGAGCCAAAAGTATGAACATTGTGCCTGTGTCCAAATATATATGAACCTAACTGTAAGTGATTTTAACTGAAGCTGGTGTGCAGCATTTGCTCCGTATTGTTGGGTATCCTAATATAGGGTTACCTGATTGGGATGGTTTTCTGCTTTGTGTTGGACTTACAAGGCATACAGAGGTTTTGCCGTGAGCTCACCTACTCCAGTCAAAATGCAAATGTCTCCCTAATTTTGTGTTTGGTTTTTGGGGGAGATGGGGCTCCTAAGATGCTTACCAATGCACCTGTTCTAACTGAACACAGGAGCCATATCTAAGCACCGCACGCGGGAGCCATATCTAAGCACCGCACACGGGAGCCATCTCTAAGCACCGCACACGGGAGCCATCTCTAAGCACCGCACACGGGAGCCATCTCTAAGCACCGCACACGGGAGCCATCTCTAAGCACCGCACACGGGAGCCATATCTAAGCACCGCACACGGGAGCCATATCTAAGCACTGCACACGGGAGCCATATCTAAGCACTGCACACGGGAGCCATATCTAAGCACTGCGCATGGGAGCCATATCTAAGCACTGCACACGGGAGCCATATCTAAGCACTGCACACGGGAGCCATATCTAAGCACTGCACACGGGAGCCATATCTAAGCACTGCACACGGGAGCCATATCTAAGCACTGCACACGGGAGCCATATCTAAGCACTGCACACGGGAGCCATATCTAAGCACTGCACACGGGAGCCATATCTAAGCACTGCACACTAGGAGCCATATCTAAGCACTGCACATAGGAGCCATATCTAAGCACTGCACACAGGAGCCATCTCTAAGCACTGCGCAGGAGCCATATCTAAGCACTGCACACGGGAGCCATATCTAAGCACTGCACACGGGAGCCATATCTAAGCACTGCACACGGGAGCCATATCTAAGCACTGCACACGGGAGCCATATCTAAGCACTGCGCACGGGAGCCATATCTAAGCACTGCACACGGGAGCCATATCTAAGCACTGCACACGGGAGCCATATCTAAGCACTGCACACGGGAGCCATATCTAAGCACTGCACACGGGAGCCATATCTAAGCACTGCACACGGGAGCCATATCTAAGCACTGCACACGGGAGCCATATCTAAGCACTGCACACGGGAGCCATATCTAAGCACTGCACACGGGAGCCATATCTAAGCACTGCACACGGGAGCCATATCTAAGCACTG